TCCCCCCAAGATTCTGGGGCTCCTGAGCAACATAATCAGCTCCCTGCAGCCTCGTTTGTAGAGGAAATTCATGTCAATGTGTTATGTCTAAGAGGCTCTGACTGCATTCACACAACCCACGTAGCCAGTTAGACTAAACCACCTGTGTTGATTTAATTCAGATCACACCCTAAGCTTGGTTAGTTCCGTGCTTGGTTAAGCTTAACACATGACCTTTCCCCCCCCCAAAATCCATTAGTTCTTTTGTGATACAAAGTATTGCGAAAACCTGGTCACCTGAATTGTTCCCCAAAGTCTACCCCGAAGGGCCCTCAGCTGACCTTGACAGTGTTTCTTAACCTTCAGTTTTCAGATGTGTGGGCTTCAACTCCCAGAATTCCCAGTTGGGAGTTGAAGTCCACACATCTGTGCCTGTTCCTGGTTCGCTTTGCCCAGATCTTTTCTCCAGAAACAGGTTCACTTCAGAGCTGATTCTGAATCTGTTCACTTCAGAACAGATTCACTTCAGAGATCATCACAAGGTTTCTCCTAGCAAATGATTCCCAGATTCCACTAGAATCCAGGGAGATGGAAAAACAGCTTCCAACAACTGCATTCTCTCTCTCTCTCTTTTTTTTTCACTTTATCCCATCCTCTCCCTTGCATGCATTGACTTCCCGCTGAAATACTGTCTGCAACCGAGTCACTTTCTTCCCCAGCCCTAAATAAATAAATACATCCATAAATCCCATCAAAGCCCCCAGTCTATTGCATCAACTAATCTCTTTTATTGGCAGCAAAAAGCAGCCCCTTAAAAGGATCAAACGGTGGGAGGAAATCTACGTGTGATAAAAGATCACAAAGCTTGCTCTTTTATCTGCGGCCATTTCTGAAAGCAAATGGCTGTCAGAGAAAATGGTTTTCTAACTGATGGTCCATTTTTTTTTTTATTTAGCATGAAAGTGGAATTTTATCCAGGGCTGGCCCAGAGGATAATATCGCTTTCTGCCTAGTTTTATATGATTGAAGCTGAAACAGGAGTGGAGACTTCCTAAATACAATGGATACTATGTCAATCAGAATAGAGCTGGAAGGGACCTTGGTGGTCTTCTAGTCCAGTTCCCTGGTCAAGCAGGAGACCCTATACCATTTCAGACAAATGGCTGTCCAGTCTCTTCTTAAAAACCTCCAGTGATGGAGCACCCACGATTTCTGAAGACAAGCTGTTCCACTGGTTGATTGTCCTCACTGTCAGGAAGTTTCTCCTTAATTCCAGGTTGCTTCTCTCTTTGATCAGTTTCCAACCATTGTTTCTCGTCCTTCCATCTGGTGCTCTGGTGAACAACCTGGCCCCCTCTGTCTTGTGGCAGCCCCTCAGATACTGGAACACTGCTATCATGTCAACCCTAGTCCTTCTTTTCTCTAGATTAGCCATACCCAGTTCCTGCAACCCTTCTTCCTATGTTTTAGTCTCCAGGCCTTTAATCATCCTAGTTGCTCTGCTCTGCACTTTTTCCAAAGTCTCAGCATCTTTTTTGTAATGTGGTGACCAAAAGGGGATGCAATATTCCAGGTGTGGTCTTACTAAGGTTTTATAAAGTGGTACTAATACTTCATGTGAGTTTTACCAGATACTACCTCAGCTTTTCTGTTGATCCTACCCTTTGATATGAAATATTTATTCATTGCATTTCTCTCCTGCTTTTCCTCTGAGGGCTTCAAGAGGGAATGGCTCCATTAATCTGGGACACTGCAACAGCCCTGGACACAGATTAGTCCAAGAGAGGATCAGGGGCTCCAATTCAGCCAATCAAATTTTATTCCACAGCCAGCCCCTTAACACCATACACTAATATCATTCAAACTAAAAGCTTATTAATATTATTACAATTCTCACTGCCTACCATGGCCATTTTCACACCTTCCTATTACACTAACATCTTGTCTGTTATAAGTAACTATTACAAAATACTGCGCAGACTTGGTAGCACTTGATGGACCCAAAAGTTCACGATTTGGGTTTCTTGTCCCAAGTTTCAACTATTGGGAACTCCAGAGATATAGAGAAACTATCCTATTAGATCAAGGGTATCCAGCCTTGGCGACTTTAAGATCTGTGGACTTCAACTCCCCAGAATTCCCCAGTCTGCATGGCTGGCTGAGGAATTCTAGGAGTTGAAGTCCACAGATCTTAAAGTTGCCAAGGTTGGATAACCCTGTATTAGATAAAAAAATATATCAGAATGTACAAATGAACCGACCACTGACCCCTTTAAGCCTTTCAAGAGCCCAAAACCCCAAAAGATGAAATTCAAGGTTGAACCACCACCAAGGGATCCTTCATGGCACTGATACTTCCACATTCTCCTTTAGTCAATGAATATTCTTGGGTGATGGAGAAGTCCTTTGGCCATCAACTATGTTGGTTGCAGAAGTATGTCCAAGGCAAAGCAGGATTGACACCGGAGAACATTTTAAATTACATGCAGCACCCTAACGGTGTTAGTTTCCAAAAAAAGCTCTTGGCTCAATAGGCGCAGGACAAAGAGTACAACATAGGGTCTTTTGTGTTTAGAGCCCAAGCTAGACATGCCACTCATCAGCGTGGGAGGTGGAGGTTTCAGTCTCCAGTGTCATCGCTTTTGCACATTCCAGCTGCTGTCATATTTTTCAGCTGAGCTTTTGAAACAATCCATTCTTCTTTCCTGCTTTTGTGATGTAGCTTTTTTTTTTTTTTTAAAGAAACTGCAATTTTTTTCTGGCCTCCATTCTTCCATTGTTTCCTTGACGCCTTGTCTATTTTCCTGTCAACTTCACAAGCAAAATCTCTCTGAAATCTTGATCTAGTCCGTTTCATCATCGCGGGTAGTCAATTTCATGGGGAAATTGGTCCTGATTTTTTTTTAAAAAAAAAAAATCTATGTGGTCACTGGAAGTAAAAAAAATAATATAGGACTTGATGACACCTAATCAATCTAGTCAATTTCACAGTACAACGCGGGCAATTTCCTGCTTTGGTCTTCTCTGCTGAAAAAGAGCTTGCTTGCTTTCCCTAGCAGTGCTCAGAAGCAAGTAGAAAACAGGATTAGATAGTCCTCCACATGCGACCACAATTGAAACTAGAATTTAGACAGTTTCATGCCTAAGGCTCAGCCTCCTGGTTTCTAGGCCAGCCAACATCTCCACCATTACTGTGGATTTCACCTCCTTTTTACCCTGTTTGTTTTCCAATGAAAGGTAGGATATTCACATATTCTTAATTAAGGACAAGCATCACACACCGTCCGTCTGTCAGAATGTCTCCACGATATCTATTCTCTTTTTAAATTATCCTCTGCCAAAGTAAATGAGAATGACGTGTGTGTGTGAAGGCTTTCTCTGCCTACAAGCATTTGATCCCCTCTGGGTAAATCCTGTTTTAGGTTACTAAGCCCAAAAAGTAGTCCTGGATCAAAATTAGCTCTGAACACACGTTTGGCAGCCCAGATGCCTTTTTTTTCTTCTCTCTAGAGTTGCCAATTTTTGAACTGGTCCCTGTAAGAAATTGTTATCCATCATGAATTTAATCCATCCTTATCTAACCCAGCCTTTAAGTTGTTTTGAGGCCAAATCTCCCAAAACTCACAGCCAGAAAGGCCGACAACTCCAGGAATTGTAATCCCAAAACATCTTGAAGGACACAAATGAGGAAGACCGGATTAATCTAAGTAAACGCAGGCTAGAGATGTAACTTTGATGTCCCGATGTGGGACATCAACGTTGGATGTAATGAAGTAGACTTTCTCTGAGGACCCTTTCATTCAGCTACCACCTTCCCTTCCCAAGTCCTCAGCATTGTTTGCAAATTTTCCTGAAATTATCCTTCAAATCTTGAGACTTCTACAGCAGTCACGTTTCCAAAGAAGAACACCTAAATCAGGATCCGGACAGCTCCCAGCTCTCTCTTTTCTTTTGGCTTCATTTATTTCTCCAATGATAGGATATGCTCCTGTTTCAAAACTGCATTCATAGCAAATCCTTCTGTACCACATCTGAATAAGAAGGAACTTGTTCAGATGTGTTGGAAACAATGGTTGCAACATTGACTCAGGAGTGGTGCAAAGCAGCTGTGGGGAAGTGTCCACTGGAGCTTTGAAAGAAGGATGTTTCTACTGTCATAGAAACATACTTGCTAATTGTTTTCAAGGTTGTTAGTTTTAATTCTGAGAGCTGTAAACAGGTGGGCTTCTATTTAAGGGATTCTTCGTCACATTCCAATCTGTGTCATACCAAGAACTTCAGAAACCATATTACACTGGCTTCAGTGAAACTCATCACCAGAATATGTGGAAAAGATTGATTGTTTGGATGGATGGATGGATGGATGGATGGATGGATGGATGGATGGATGGACTGGAGAGAGATCCAAATCTCTGTACAGCCCTGAATCTCATTCGGGAATTTGGGGTCACTAACCATCCTATTCTATCTCGTAGGATAGTTGTGAGGAGACAAGGAGAAACTACTATGTCCTTAAGGTACTTAGATGGAAGGTTGACTAGAAGGAAATGTATCCTGCCCCAAAACTCCTATTTCTTTGCTTTCAAATTTGCTGCTAGCTTTGTATATTGCTACCAAGGATCATTTGGGAAAACTACATCCTCTTCCTTCACCACCCAGCCTCAGTTGTGAACATGAATACACAATGCACAGGATCTGTTGAAAGAAGGCATTCTGCTCCTACAAGGGACCTTGAAGGTAGCAGTTAAGAACTGGACGTTCTGTGCCTCAAGCAATTCTCACCTTCTAAAAATCAATGTACTGGTCTTAACTTGCTTATTTGCATGCTCATCTCTGAAATATAATTTTGGTACTTCTAATCCAGTCTCCAGGGAGATTTGATTTTGATTCCAGCCCTACCTGGGTTTGGGTCATTAATGGAACCATTCTAAGCAATTTAAACTAGGAATCAAGGATTAGGTTTGGGGAAAACAGAAGCAATGGGGGGGGGGGGAGAAACGACAGGGGTGCAGTGGACTCACGGATACAGACTCCCGGTGTGCTGCCTCTTCTGACCAAGCCTGGTATGGCTCAATTTAGGCTCGCGGGCCATGTTTATATCTAGAGACAAAGAAAAAATTGGCAACAAAGGAGAAACAGCAGAGCCAAACAAGAAAATAAGCAGGAGCGGGCAGATATGGCAAAAGAAATTGCACTTACTTCATAGTGCTTTACAGCCCTCTCTAAGAGGTTTACAGAGTCAACATATTTGCCCCCAACAACCTGGGTCCTCATTTGACTGACCTCGTAAGGATGGAAGGCTGAGTCAACCTTGAGCCGGTCAGGATCGAACTGCTGGCAATTGGCAGAATTAACCTGCAATACTGCATTCTAGCCACTGCACCACTGCGCTACCACGGCTCCTGACCCTTTTGTCACCCAGATGACGAAAGTTGAAAATAAAAGGCATGGACATCTTTTCAACCTGTCTGTGCTATTTATTAGCCATGGAATTGTCTGAAGATGGAATTAGACTCTCCACTCAGAGGACTGACAGCACAGATGCAAATGTAAGCACCATTTAACATACACACACACACACCCCAGGGAGGGCAAAAATGCACCTTCTGAACAAAGATCGTCTTACTTTTTTTCCCACCTAGCTTGCAAAGAATGAGTCAAGATTTTTTTTTCCTGATACAGAATTATTGTTTTCTGTTTGGTGGAGAGAGAAAAGAGCCGTGTTTCTTTAGCTGCCCTAAAAATCCAAAATGCATTTCAAAGATGAAGGACCTTCTTCACTGGGAACTGTAATTGGGGCTGTTTCCTGTACTTACCTAGAGCAATGAGGATCTTAGAGCAATCAGTAGGACTTGCATTTCAGATCTGAGCATTCACGGGAACGTGGGAAGACTGAATACGGGAGACAAAGTTTGCCCTTCCAAAAATCTACTCCTATCGTTTGTTTTTGTCCATTCCAGATGGATTCCCTCCCACCTCCAGCTAATGATGGCACACACACACACACACACACACACACACACACACACACACACCGAATCTATTTCTGCTTGGAACATTCTCAAGATATACCCATTGACTGCTGCTTGGGGTGCTATCAAACTCTGGCGACCATCACTTCTGAAATGAGTTCTCTGTTTTTTTTTTGAGCTGTGGGAAGAGGATTTCACAGCTGACAATTACAAAGTAGAGCCCTTTTGTATCAAGGAAATTGCTCTAATTCTGCAGATAGAATCCTGATCTGTTAAGCTATTTATGCCACCAAGCAAAGGAGAGATGGATTTTTTTATCTTCATCCGTTGTCAGGGCAAAGCCCAAATGTGTTTCTCAATCTGTTCACCTGATACTCTCGCCCATGGTTTACTAATCCAGCCCAATCTTCCCTCCGTATAATGGTCACAAGGAACCATGAATTAAATCACCCAAGCGGGATCCACCAGTCTCTTAGCTGAAATATACCCTTGGCAAACCAAGCCACTGAGAAAGGCAGAACTTCAATATACCGTAGAGAGGAACGTTAAGACAGAAGCTTAAGAACAAGAAGGCTCATTCCCTAAACCACACTCTCATTCGCACCCTCTCGTGCCCGTACATGCCACGGTTTCAAAGATGCTGACTGCCTTCTGACTGTGATCCTGTAGGTCATATGTATTGCCTTAAATGCCTTCCCAGGGCAAGATCTATCCATCTACCGTGGCCATTTGCATTGCCATTTTGATCTAACTTTCTTTCAACCAAAGAGAAGAAGAAAAAAGAAGGGGAGGGTGGACAAATGGCAGGCTTTGTTTTCAAGCAAGAAGCAAGCTCCCTCCAACCCCCCCCCTTCCCGGTTATTCTGCATAGCAAAGTGCAATGCCTTGCTTTTCCCCCCCTTCCAATGGCTGCGTATCCTATCCAGAAGAAGGACGGGGCTGGTTAAATGTGGAAGCAACCCCACCACCACCACCACCACCACCACCACCCTCTCGCCAAGGCTAATTAGTCCTTTCTCCTCCTCTACCTCTTCCCTCCCTGCCTGTTTGCCCCTGGCTGCCTCTGCTTTGGCAGCCAAATGGGTGCCACCTTGCCTTGGGGTGAAGCCCTGCCTCCCCCGCCATGAACAAAATAGGGTTACTCACATCTCCAGCACCCTTCATGCCATTCTGAGAGAGAGAGAGAGGGAAGGGGAGAAAAAGAGGATCCGGTGCCAAGTGCAAGGTTGGTGGGCAGCAGTTCGCTCCCCCCCTCCTTCTCTTCATGGAACGAATAGATCTCCAGCTTGAATCCTGTACCCGAGGAATGTACCAACTGCCATTGTGAGGGGGGGAGGGAGGTTGCTAGACAGGAGGGGGAGGGGTCAGGCCAAGCAAACCATCTCCACATCGTGGGCAGGGGACATTTTTTTTTTTTTTTTTTACAGCCTCCCTAGACTAGAGTTTCCATCCTGAGGAAGCAGCTCCCGTATTATTTTGGTTGGGCGGAGGGTGATTTAGGCTGGGGAGTCTTACAAGTGGTGTGTGGGTCTCTGGGGAGGTGGGAGATCCAGAGGAGAGGAGGAAGAGGGGTTGCTGCTCTCTAGCCGGCTATTTTTCCACCTTTGGGGTGAGGTGGAGAGCAGATGCTCAGAAGAAATCCTGAGCTTTTTGCAGTCTGTGCCCTCCAGGGAGGTGCAGGCTCCAGCTTCTGAAGCTGTTGTTGCTTCCCACATTTTGTCCAATCGGTGTCCATCAGATCTGCTAGGCTGGTTACCCAACCTTGACAGCTTTAAGATTTGTGGACTTCAGCTCCCAGAATTCCCCAGCCAGCTATGCTGGCTGGGGAATTCTGGGAACTGAAGTCCAACAAGTCTTAAATTTGCCCGGGTTGGACAGCCCTGTGCTAGACTTACGATTTGCAAAGTACCAGAGACAGTGTCACAAGCCCAGAGGAACCCATGTTTAGAGATCCAGGCGAGCAAAATTGGCTTAATGTTCCAGGTAGAAGGAAAGATTTGATAGAGTTAGCCTACCTAATCTACTGTCCATGGGGTATGGTGCTGGAGAAGACTCCTGCAAGTCCCTTTTACTGCAAGACGTTCAAACTGGTCAGTCCTAGAAGAGATCAACCCCGACTGCTCTTTAGAAGGTCAGATCCTGAAGTTGAAACTCAAGGACTTTGGCCACCTAATGAGAAGGAAGGACTCACTGGAGAAGGGCCTAATGGTGGGAAAGATGGAGGGCAAGAGAAGAAGGGGACGGCAGAGAATGAGATGGCTGGATGGAGTCACTGAAGCAATAGGCGTGAGCTTAAATGGACTCCAGAAGATGGTAGAGGACAGGAAGACCTGGAGGAACGTTGTCCATGGGGTCGCGATGGGTCGGACACGACTTCGAAATTAACAACAATAACAACAACCTAATCTGCAGAATGCCAGCGCAGCAGGAGGTGGCGGTAAGCAGAGATGGAAACATGTCCCTTTTTTCTGCCCTCTCGTGGCCAGTCGGATTTTGGCAGCCCAAAGATTAACCCCAGGGAAAAAAAACTGCAAAAATCTGGAATGTTCAATTTTATTTTATTTTTTTAAAAAAGACTAAAATAAAGAATTAAACCTATACCACAATATATAAAAGGGTTAAAATTTTAGATTTATTTCACTGGTAAGTGACTATAATCCTAGACTGCTGTATGATCGTTATTAAGATATTAAAATAATGTAATCATTGTTTAAATGTTAGATGGTTTACAAAGGTGTTCTAGATGGACCTAATAAAAATCAGATTATTGTGCACACAAGCTAAGATGTAATAAAAAATCCAGTTGCTGTACACATGGCTAACTAAATTGGTGTCTAGAAGAGTGTTTCTCAACCTCTGCACTTTTAAGATATTACCCTTCTCTCACTTTCAATGTTCTCATGATTTCAAGGAAACAGTATTTTAAAACTACAATAGTATTTTAAAACCTGAACAATTTTTCGAAAGGTTTTGCACCATAACATTTCCCTTCTATTACCAGGAGATGGCAATGTGAGGCCAGAGATTAATTTTCTTTTAGTTTGAGGGCAATGAAAAGGAATCCAACTGCAGATAAAACTCTTTAGATATGTGTAGGAATTAGTTCGGGCAGTAGATGCCATCAACTAAAATATATTTTGTACCTATTTCATTCCTTCCACCTTTAAGAGGTTTCTTGAGAATAAAAACAAGTGAAGGCTTTAGGAATATGTAAATGCATTTTTGTCTCCCTTGGATGCACAAAGTAGATATACCCTTTAAATTTAAAAGAATATAGCACTACTAGTCCTCAGCGTTCTAAGTCAACTTTTGTATTCTTTTCAGAGCTTGTTCTCAATCATATGCACTTCATATATATATACACACATATACACACATATATATACACACACCAATATTTCAAAAGCAGGGAGGGAAAAAAACAGGCCAAAGATGGCAACAAGCCTTCTTTAAAAAGCACCTGGCCGGTCCGGCTGGCCCTTTTCCCTGTCCAGTTGCTACGAGGCGGCTGATCTTTCTGCAAAGAACTTCCCTTCCTTTCCTTTCCCCCGTCTTTGGCTTCCCAACATTCCGTCATTCAAGGGAACACAGCATGTTCAGAGCTGACTGCCCAAAGGAAGCCATTACTTCTGCAAGTTGACTTTGGGGAGACGCTCGCTGGCAGGTGGGTGTCGTTTGAATGCCCCGCGCCCCCTCCTCCCCCCAAAAGGAGAGGATTATGTGCGGTGGCGGACGGAGGAGGATGCAACTTTGCTAAGGCAAAACACAAAAGCCTGCTTCATCTTAATGCATACCGCAATGTCGGCAGGCACCAAGTTCTGTTTTTTTTTTCCCTTTAAAAAAAGAAGAAAAGAAAGGGAAAGAGAGAATTGCCATTTCTTTGGCATTCAGGATGGGTCATCCTTCCGACCGGTTTTTGTAACCACTGCCTTTTTTACCATGGGTTTTTCAAAATCTCTTTTCCCCTTTCCCCCTTCTAATCACACCAACTTGCAAGGGAGCTCCAGTTAATGGGGGAGTGAGGGAACGGCAGAGGGGGTAGGGAGAAGACTTCTGGTGCTCTGGTGCAAATTTGTGTGCATGCAAAACTGATGTCACAAGATTGTCCTGAGTAAATTTAAACTATGGTAGTAGCAGTAGAATGATTATCATAATAGCTTGCCAAGGGAGGCCGTCTTTAAGTAAAGATATTCCAAGTAGGTTGATTCTATTCTGCTCTGCTCTACTTCTATTCTATTCTATTCTGTTCTGTTCTGTTCTGTTCTATTCTCTATTCTGTTCTGTTCTATTCCTATTCTATTCTCTATTCTATTCTGTTCTGTTCTGTTCTATTCCTATTCTATTCTCTATTCTATTCTGTTCTGTTCCTATTCTATTCTGTTGTATTTCTATTCTATTCTATTCTATTCTATTCTATTCTATTCTATTCTATTCTATTCTATTCTATTCTCTGTTCTGTTCTATTCCATTCCATTCTATTAATGATTATTCTATTCTATTCTATTAATGGTTATTCTATTCTATTCTATTCTATTCTATTCTATTCTATTCTATTCTATTCTATTCTATTCTATTCTATTCTATTCTATTCTATTCTATTCTATTCTTCTTTTTTACTTTACTCTATTCTACTCTCCTCTCCTCTCACATTTATTACTTTGGTAAATAACTAGCTAATTTCTCTTTCCCTTATAACAAAACCCCTGTGAGGTGAATCGCAGGTTGGAATACCACAAGCTTATAAAAGTATAATAAGTAAAAATAGTAAGAATATCCCCAACAGTGAATTTGAGGTCTTTAAGGAATTTAGAGGTCTTGCTTCATTTCCTCTTCAGACACATCTGCTGTCTTGTCCCAGTGTTCATAGGTAATCCTTAACTCACAACTATTTGTTTAGCAACTGCTTGAAATTACAACAGCACTGAAAAGAGTGACCTATGATAGGTCCTCGCACTCACAACAGCCTCAGGATGATTGTGGCAACCGGCTTGTGGATGGTTGCCGCATCCCAGGGTCACGTGATTGCCATTGGTGAGGTTTCCAGCTGGCTTCTGACAACAAAAGTCTATGGGGGAGACAGATTCGTTTAATGATCACATGATTCACTTAACAACCGGAAGGATTCATTTCACAGCCATGGCAAAAGCCATAAAATTGGAGTGATTCCCTTAACAATCAGCTCACTTAGCCCTGTGAATTCTGGTTTCATAAGTCAAGGACTACCGGTATGCTGTGAAGAAGTTTAATGAAGAGAAGGACGGGGGGGGGGGGACATGATAGCAGTCTTGCAGTATCTCAGGGGCTGCCCCAGAGAAGAGGGAGTCAAGCTATTCTCCAAAGCGCCTGACGGCAGGACCAGAAGCAACGGATGGAAACTAATCAAGGAGAGAAGCAACCTAGAACTAAGGAGAAACTTCCTGACAGTTAAAACAATTAACCAGTGGAACAACCTGCCTCCAGAAGCGGTGAATGCTCCAACACTGGAAGTTTTTAAGAAGAGCCTGGACAGTCATTTGTCTGAAATGGTGTAGGGTTACCTGCCTGAGCAGGGGGTTGGACTTGATGACCTCCAAGGTCCCTTCCAAGTTTATTATTATTATTATTATTATTAAGTTTCCCTCATGTCTGTTTCCATCCTGTATCTATCCTTGGATTCCAGCCTGGTCCACGTTAGCCCAACAGATGGTAAAAAAATAAGAAAGGCAGGATACAAATAAATAAAATGTCCTGGCCAGCCTTAAGAAAGCGTATTTTATTTTATTATTTCAAAAGGGACCTTTTTATAGCTAGATGACACACTATGAGCTGCTCTTCAAAAGGGAAAATAAACAACCGGGTCTATTTTTAAATTCCTAACCAAGTTTCACTGATTTCAGTGGGGACGTCCTTCAGCATCTGAGTGTACAAGTCACAGCGCAACTATTTTAATAGGAAATGAAAAAAGGAATTCATTTTTAAAAGCTCAAAAATCACAAAAAGCTATCCAAAGACTTTAAAGTAGCAGATTAAAATAAACCCAGCCGAGAGCAAGAACATTTAAATCCTGAACTCTGAAAAGGGTTCCACGGAAATAAATTAAATTCCTTTATCACAACCTCCTGCTAATTCACAGTAGCGTGCAGTTGCCTACCAACAATGCTTCATAATCAAGCTAAACTCCTTAAGAGCTTAATTTTCTGCAAGTAATGGAAGAATTTATTGCCATCCAGCACATGTTTCTGTATTTGAGAAATCAGAACAAGAGGGCAAAGAGGTGAGACTTAAAATTCCCAATCTCCTGGGCAAGCGGAGGGCCCCTGAGGGAAGATGCAAATATTTGCCAATAACACAGGAGTTAATAACTCACTGTCTAATGTAGGGGTGTCCAACTTTGGCTTTTTGCAGTCTGTGCCCTCCAGGGAGGTGCAAGCTCCAGCTTCTGAAGCTGTTGTTGCTTCCCACATTTTGTCCAATCGGTGTCCATCAGATGTGCTAGGCTGGGGTTGCCCAACCTTGACAGCTTTAAGATTTGTGGACCTCAGCTCCTAGAATTCCCCAGCCAGCCATGCTGGCTGAGGAATTCTGAGAGTTGTAGTCCACAAGTCTTCAAGCTTGGACGTCCCTGGTCTAATGGCTGCCTCTGAACTGGCACCTCCTTTTCAAGAAATCCATACTGTGAGACACGTGCTCTGAACTTTCTCCACAGAAAGAGAAACCTGGAAAAAAAAATGGGATCTCATCTATTTTGAATCCGGCCCTCACTCACTGCTTCTTTAAGTCCCACCCACCCCAGGACCCTTGAGACCTAAAAAAAATAAAGCTAAAATCTAATTGCCCACCCTGATTCCCAGTCTTTATTGAGATGATTGTCTTGATAGCTGAAGAACTGGGACCAAGAATTCAGCCTCACCAGGTTTCACCCCGCAGGTTCACATGCCAACGAGGGCTCCTTGCCAAGCCCTGGCATTCCTTCTCCTCTTGGCTGGTTCTGCTGCTTCCAGTTCATTTTGGCCTCTTCGGCACACAGAGGAGTGAGAAAGAGAGCAACAAATCTTTCCTCCATGCCTAAGGTTGCCTTCACCAGTCAGGTGGTCCTCCATGTATAGGTTGCCTTTCACGTCTCACCATGGCTTGTCAATCAGTCGTGGAGGACTCAGGTTCAGATGGGCCCAGAAGAAGACACAGCAGTGACAATGAGAGCAAAGAAGCCAACATCTTTAAAGGCCTGGAGATTAAAACACACGAGGAACGGTTGCAAGAACTGGGCCTGGCTAGTCCAGGGGTAGGCAACCTTGGCTCTTTTATGACTCGTAGACTTCCAACTCCCAGAATTCCTGAGCCGGCATGGCTCAGCTAGGAAACCTCTCCCTTTCCCCTCAGCATGGCTGGCTCAGGAATCCTGGGAGTTGAAGTCCACGAGTCATAAAAGAGCCAAGGTTGCCTACCCCTGGACTAGTCTAAAGAAAAGAAGGACTAGGGCTGACATGATAGCAACTGTTCCAGTGTTTGAGTGGCTGCCCCAAAGAAGAAGGGGTCAACTTATTTTCCAAAAGAACAGAGACAAGAAACAATGGATGGAAACTCATCAAGGAGAGAAGCAACCTGGAATTAAGGAGAAACTTCCTAACAGTGAGAACAATTCACCAGTGGAACGGCTTGCCTTCAGAAGTTGTGGGTGCTCCATCACTGGGAGGTTTTTAAGAAGACCCTGGACAGCTACTTGTCTGAAATGGTATAGGTCTCCTGATTGAGCAGGGGGTTGGACTAGAAGACCTCCAAGGTCCCTTCCAGTATTCTGATTATTATTATTATTATTATTATTATTATTATTATTATTATTATTATTATTATTATTATTATTATTATTATTATTATTATCTCAAGAAGGTATTTTGCACAGGAGCCCCAGAAGGACAAATGAACACTTTTCTGTCTTCTCTTCAGCTGTCCTTCCCACATTGCATGATCCTATTTGTTCAGTGGTGTAAGTCTGTACCAACCTCTCAGCAAATCAGATATTTTTCATTGCCTTCTTAAAATATGCATAATTACTTGAGTTTCCAAGACCTTGGGACCCCGTTGCTTTGCTCCAGAGCTTTTTCCTAGTTCCTCTCACCTTTTCTTAAAATGCAAATCAGGCAACACAGGTATTCAAGATTCGTTGGAAATAAGAACTTCCCAAATTTGGCGACCTGCATTTTCACGCTTCCAAGCTAAGATTCCCTTTGTTCTTTTAGCAGTCAGCTCATGTTGCTGATAACATATTCATCTGAGGCTCAATTGCAATTCCAGGATTTATCTCTTGATTTATGGCCAGGATTGTAATGAAGTCAGATTTCCCAAGTGGGCATCTGATTCGTTTCTCTTAAGCGAAGAACTCTGCGTTTGTTTCTTCTCAGTCTCCACGACGTTCAGTCCGCTTCTGCATCCTAACATGCTCATTCCGAAGTTTCTTTCTGCCTCCTCATCTTTGGTGGCATCTGCTTTGGTGGCATCTGACAATCTGATGCGCGTTCCTTCCATCTCTTCGACCGAGATGCCAAAGAGCACCAGTCCAGGGACCAATTTCTGTGGCATTTCACTTGCTCCCTTGCTCCAGTTCCAGGAAGGACCGTGGAGAGCACGCTTTTGAGCCAGGGGTGGGTCCTTTTAGTGCAGCGGTTCTCAACCTATGGGTCGCGATCCCATTTGGGGTCGACCAACCATTTCACGGGGGTCGCCAAGCAAGGCTGTCTGCCATTTTTTCCCCCTTTTCCGGCAGGTGCCTTACCTCCCTTGGGCTGGGCCAGCTGGTGGCCCAGCCGGTGGCCGGCCTGCTCCGTCTCTGCCGCTTGCCAGCTACGCCTCGGCCGGCGCAGGGGGCAGCACCACGCATGCGCGGCACTCCCGGGCAGGGAAAGTCTTCGACTTACGACCGGTTGGGTAGTCCTCGACTTACGACTGGTTTAGTCCTTGACTTACGACCAGTTGGGGGTCGCAGCATTAAAAAGGTTGAGAACCACTGTTTTAGTGGATGAGTCATGGTCTACCAACTGCATAATGGGGAGCTAATCTCAGTTTGGGAAACACATTGATTCAGACCAACAAATAACACTAGAGCGTCTCCCAAGTTCTCCAGAATCTTTCATTAGCCAGGAAGTCCCAAAGGTGCACTTCCCCCCAAAAGACAACTGGTTTTTTTTTTCTTTGAAAACGTTTTGCTTCTCATTCAAGAAGCATCTTCAGTTCTGAAGAACTGAACATCTGAACCTCCAAGAAGAAGAAACGTTTTAGATGAAAAGGGAAACGTTTGCAAAGAAAAAAAAAACAACACCCAAGAAAGTCCGGTTGCCTTTTGAAAAAAGCATCTTTGGGACAACCATGACCTGGAGGATGGAAATCTCTTATGTTAGACACCAGCCAGGAAGTTACCCCCTCAGCCCAAAAAAGACAAACAAGGGGGGGTGGAATGACTTATGTCGAATGTTTTGGTTTAATGTGGGGCATTTCTGCTCCTTCTCTAAACCCTCCTTCCTCTCTGCCAGCCCTTGCTTGATAAAGAATAATAGAAGAGAAGAGGAGTAAAGTAGAATAGAATAGAAAATAGAATAGAATATAGAATAGAATAAGAGTAAAATAGAATAGAATAGAATAGAAAATAGAATAGAATAGAATATAGAATAGAATAGAATAGAATAGAATATAGAATAGAATAGAATAGAATAGAATAGGGAATGCAATAGAATAGAATAGAATAGAATAGAATAAGAGTAAAGTAGAATAGAATAGAATAAGAGTAAAATAGAACAGAAAATAGAATAGAAAAGAATAGAATATAGAATAGAATAGAATAGGAGTAAAGTAGAAAATAGAATAGAATAGAAAATAGAATAGAATAGAATAGAGCTGGAAGGAACCTTGGAGGTCATCTAGTCCAACCCCTGCTCAAGCAGGAGAACCTACACCATTTCAGACAAATGCTTGTCCAGTCTCTTCTTAAAAACCTCCAGCGATGGAGCGCCCCAACGATTTCTGGAGGCGAGCCGGAGCTCTGGCGGACTCCAAAGCTCGCCCCTTCCTTTGGGGTCGGTCCTGACTCAAGTCCTGCCCAGCGCCCCTGCAAACGCCTCCCCCTCCCCGGTCGAGCTGAGGCCCCCCCCGCCCCCCGCCCGGCCTTTTGGACCGGAGCCTCCCAAAGCCGGCGCCCTCCCCCTCGGCAAAGGGCGCGGGGCTCTGCGCGCCGGGCAGGACAGGCTTCCCGGGAAGGTCCGGGCAAAGGAGGGGTCCCGGCCCGCGCCCCCTCTTCCAGGAGCCCCCCTCGTCCCCAAAGCTCCGCAGCCCCAGAGAGGGAGGGAGGCAGCCCCCCCCACCTCCGCCCCCCGCACAGCCAAAGTCCAGCAAAGGTCCCGTCCGCGGCGATGGGGCCAGAGCCGCGCATGCGCCTCCGCTCCCCCGTTCTCCAGCGGAGCCCCGCGGAGCCACAGCGCCAGCGGCCAGGGCAGATCCGCACCAGCGGCCGGGGCAGGAGGCGATGGCTGGGGAGAACCAGGAGCGGGCTCTCCGGAAGAGCATCGCGGCTCAGCAGCCGGCGCCTCGGTCGTCCCCGCTGCCGCCCGCCAACAGCCCCGGCGCCCCCCGTGCGCCCAGCCCGGACAGCGGCGACCCGGAGCGGGTGGCGCTCAAGAAGGAGATCGGCTTGATCAGCGCCTGTGCCATCATCATAGGTGAGGGGCGGCCCCGTCGGTCCGGGGGAGGGGGCCACCCCCTCACTCCCCCCCCCACTTTCCAAGCGTTTCTCCCCACCCCACCCCCCGCTTGGAAAGTGGCTCTTGGTGGTGGGGGTCCTTTAAAAGAAGAGGGGGGGCAAGGGGGGGCGCGAGGCTGCTTGGAGGAGGACCCCCCTCCCCTTTTCTCTTCTTCAGGGGGACAAATTGAGGGTGGGGGGAATCTTGGCTACCAAGCCAGGTTCCCCCCCCCTTCCTCCTTTTACCTTTTCTTTCCCAATTCCTGGCGCCTGGCAGACTTGGTGATTTTCTGCTTTTCAATCCAGACTTTTTGGAAAGTCTTTTGGTTGGGGAGAGTTTTCTCTTTCTCCCCCCCCCCTCCCCGCCCCCTCACAGCCCCGTGCAAGTTGAGTTTGTCCTGGTTGTCAAATTCTGCTTTCCTGTTTTGTGCGGGGGGGGGGGAGGATTAAGGTGGAAAATGTGAGAAGGTTGGTGGGCTGGAAATCAGCCGGATTCTTATTTTTATTGTTATATTTATTGTTTTAATTTTGTACACCGCCCTGAGTCCCTAGGGATTGGGCGGCATATAAATTTTATTAATAAATAAATAAATAAATAAATAAATGAAGATTCACAGGACCCCAAGTGTTTGGTAGGTTTGGTCTAGTGAAAAGAAGGATGAGAGGGGATATGATAGCAGTGTTCCAATATCTCAGGGACTGCCCCAAAGAAGAGGGAGTCAAGCTATTCTCCAAAGCACCAGAAGGCAAGACAAGAAACAATGGATGGAAACCAATCGAAGAGAGAGAATCAACCTAGAACTAAGGAGAAATTTCCTGACAGTTAAAACAACTAATCAGTGGAACGACTTGCCTTCAGAAGTAGTGGGGGCAACACTGGAGGTTTTCAAGAAGAGATTGGAGAGCCATTGGTCTGAAATTTCATAGGTCTCCTGCTTGAGCAGAGGGTTGGAGTAGAAAACCTCCAAGGTCCCTTCCAACTGTGTTATTCTGAAGCTCCTCAGTTGATGTCCCAGCCACTTCATTCACATGTTTTAAAGTTGGCTAGTTGGGTTAGGTTTGAAGTTGCCTTGGCAGGCTGTGCCAGCCAAGCCCATTGGCAGACAGTATACAAACCTGGGTTTGGGGCCTCCAAATTCCACCCAAACCACGGGCAACCACATTGGTTTCTCCTGGAGATAAGAACCATTTCTCATATTGCTCAGCCCTCAGCTGGATTTGGGGGCACTCAACCACTTCCTGCAGTCAATCCTGACTTCTTAAGTAGCTTTTGGAGATCCTCAAACAGCTTTTGGCTCTGTTAATACTTATTTATTTATTTAGCATATGGTATCTCATACCTGGACTTGCAATATACATTTCACCTATTCTATTCTATTCTATTCTATTCTATTCTATTCTATTCTATTCTATTCTATTCTATTCTATTCTATTCTATTCTATTCTATTCTATTCACCTAGAACCTAGATTGATAATGCTTCCCATTTTTGAAGGCAGATATTGGGGGACCAAATAGAGAGTCTCAGTATATTAACTATGTTCACACAACCTTATGAACTGCAATTTGTCCACCACATTTTAGCCAATCCTGTTGTACAGGCCAAGCCAGTGGATTTAGTTGCGGAAAGCCAGAAACTTTGGTTAAGTCAATGAACCGTGCTTCTGCTAATCCTCTCTAAATCTATCACACGAGCATCACTAATGAGTGAAGATGTTGCGGTGGTCTCCGAGGGGGGGGGGAATTAACTAGAAGAACCACAAGAATCTGAGAGTTGTTTTTGTTTTTTTTAAATCTTGGGAGCATTCTGGAAAAGAGCAGATCCTTGGGGGGGCAGTTTTGAGAGAGAGCCCTGCTTTTATTTATCATTCCAATTATGTAAATGCCACCAATAATCTCTTTGCCAGCCTCTTGCGCTGGATTTTTGTGACAGCAGCTTTGCGTTGCCTATTTAGGGCTTTTTCCAAGGCAGCACACCAACCCAGGGTGTTTTAATTGTCTTTGGGTAAGCTTCTGGAGAAAACTAGGCTGTTAATTTAAGCCATAAGGAAACAAATAGACATGTGTGCCTGTCACCTTCCACACCATGGTATCTTGAGTTGCTGGGACTTTTAGTCCCAGTACATACATCCAGAGAACTTCAAGTTGGTAGAAAATCTATCTAGCCACTGCACCTTACTGCCTTTCATTTTTGAAGATCTGAGTTTAAAAATAGTTGGGCCCCTTAGATGTTTCCTCTTTGTTCCAAGCCTACTTGAGACAGAAGAACAGAGATGTGGGACCCAATTAGCCATGGCAGTCTTTTCATTGTGATTGCTTGTGCTTTGTGGTGGTTCTGTTTCACTGCACTCATGACGGAGAAGGATTTTAAGCTGTGGAACTCAAGAGAACATCAATGTCTATAATATAAAGAACTTCATTCATCAATAAAAATAATGTGAAACCAGGAAGAGAGGTGACCAGTGGCCATGGTTGTGTGAGAAAAAGCCATTTTTAATTTTAAAAACCTGAAAAGGAAGCACCAGGAAGGAATGTCTGTGGGATGTGGTCAAAAAGTCAAGATAGTGGTGATGATGATGATGATGATGATAATAATAATAATAATAATAATAATAATAATAATAATAAGAAGAAGAAGAAGAAGAAGAAGAAGAAGAAGAAGAAGTAGTAGTAGTAGTAGTAGTAGTAGTAGTAGTAGTAGTAGTAGTAGTAGTAGTAGTAGTAGTAGTTGGAAGGGACCTTGGAGGACATCTAATCCAGGGCTTTTCAACCTTTTCACCCATTGTACCACTTTTAAGATATGGCAATATCGAATACCACCAGTCGCCTAGCAAGGTGTCAAAAACTTAATGACCCCCCCCCAAAAAGGGAAAAAAGTGATAAAGTACAGGTAGTCCTCGACTTACAACAGTTCCCTTAGTGACTGTTCGAAGTTACAATAGCACTGAAAAAAGTGCCCCCCAAGCCACAGCCGAGCAAGACACCTGCCTGCCCGCCCGGTGGCGCTCTTCCTCCTGCCTGAGGTTTTCATTGTTGTGAGCATTTCTGTTGAGGATTGGCAGCGGGGGTGGGGTGGGGTGGGTGTGGTTTTTATTCCGCCCATCTGCTGGGTGGTTGCAGCAGGTTTTGGTCACGTCACATGACCTTGGAACACTGTGACCATCATAAATATGAATCAATTGCCAAGCATCTGAATGTAAATCACAAGACCCTGGAGATGCTGCAACATTCCAGCTGATTGGCGCTTCTTCTGGGCTCAACAGAAGCACCAGGATCAGCACTGAGCTCCAGCTGGAGCCTGGTGCTGATCCTGGCGCTTCCGCTGAGCCCTGACAGCCCCGAAGAAGTGCTGATCCTGGCGTTTCCGCTCAGCCCTGACAGCCCTGCAGCTCCAGCCATCTCTTGCTCAGGCTTGTGCGGTGCTGCCACCGGTTCAGCTCATTCCCCTCCCCAGCTACCACTTTTCTAGGATGGCCGTGTACCACCTGCCAGGTGTCAATGTACCACAGGTGGTACCCGTACCACTGGTTGAAAAGCCCTGCTCTAAGCTCTCTTCACCAGCTCACCTGTATGATTCCAAAGAGTCAAAAACAAAACTGAAGTCCATGTGAAAAATAATAATGGGCTCTAATTAGAATTTTCTTGGCAAAAGGAAAGAAGAGAACAGAACAACACACACCACGGTGTTCCTAATTGAGCCCTTGTGGGTACAGAAAACAAATTTGTTAATGCACTCCTAGGTCTCCCTGCAATTGCTAATTTTCACATAGCATCCAAAAACTTTTTCTCAAATGCAAACTGAGCAGATGCAGAGCCTCAACGATATATTTGGAAGTAAAAGTAGTGCCAGTCTGAAGAAGAAGAATAAATGTTTGCATTGAACCGTTCATCCCCCCCCCCCCCCGCTCTGTTTTAAAAGGAGGAACGTAGACCATTATTTACTGGAGAATGTTTACAACTTCTTTCAATCCATTGGGGGAAAAATAGCCATTTCTCAGATTTGGAATGGGACTCTAGTCATATTCTACTGAATCGAAGTCCAAATCACAACAGCGCTGAGAAAAGTGACTTATGACCACACAACCGTTGTAGCATCCCCATGATCAAAAATCAGATGCTTGGCAATTGACTCATCTTTATGACCACTGCTGTCATGTGATCCCCTTTTGCGACCTTCTGACAGCAAATTCAATGGGAGAACCAGATTCCCTTAACTAATTTAACAACTACAATGATTCACTTAACAGGCAAGAAAGAAAAGGTCATAAAATGCAGCAAAATTCACTGAACAAATGTTTCACTTAGCAACAGAAAATTTTGAGTTCCATTGTGGTCGTTATTTGAGGACTATCTGTACGTTCAGCCATGCCCTGGATATATTTTGCTGTGCCGTCTCCATCATCCCAAACCAGGGCTGTGGAGAAGGTCACATTTCAACTCCAAATTCCTAGCCAACATGAAGTCTGTTCTTAAAGGAATGAAGTCACTGCACATTGCAAGATCTGCCTTCCTTACAGTTAGAACAGGGTGATACGTTTTGTGTGAATGTGCAGGTGTCATCTTGCCCAGAACCTGGCAAGCTTAAACACCTTGGCTTCTTGGAGGAACAACTTGTTTGCGCTCTAGATGAAAATATTTGCTACAAAAATTCCAGGACTACTGTTAGAAAATACAAACTGGGCTCACTTTCCCCCCCCCCCGCCTCATTGCAGATCTGTAATGTTACAGGATTCGGTGCCCTATAAAAAAATCAAGAACTCTTTACAGTGCCCTCAAATGCCACTGCAACTGGAAGGAAGCAAAGCCAGTTGGCCCCGGGTGAAGCCTTGGAGGAAATTAATAAATTTGGCCTTAAGACTAATTAATCTCATGTTGCCCATGTGATTGAAAAGCACGGCAGTCGCTGGCGGTATTTTGCTTTTCAAGCTCAGTGCTTGAAGGCTGAAGCTGAACTTCCAGAAATCAGACTCTAAAGCAGATC